GCAAGCTCAAGGGGGCGAGGGAGGGGATAACGGAGGGGGGTCAACAAAAACAAACTGCTTCAAATGTCACACTGACACCTATCATTTTTACAGTAATTAAAAAATAAATGATAAGGCCTGGAGAGACGGCTCAGCGGTTAAGAATACTGGTTGTTCTTGCAGAAGACCCGGGTTCAAATCCCAGCACCCACATGGCAGCTAACAACTGTCTATAACTCCAGTCCCAGGGTATCCGACAGCCTCTTCTGACCTCTGAAGGCATTGCACAACACGGGCGCACTCACATACATGCAGGCAATACACGCATATACATAAAATAAAAATAATTTAAAAAATTTAAAAAACCAATAAAACATCAATCCAAATGGTCCTGGTGATTAACCAAAACAGGAAAATGCCCCTCCCCCTAAAGCTGTCTGCTCTAGAAACTTTTAAAAAATAGCATAAATTCAGAGTCTGGAGAGATGACTCAATGGTTAGGAGCACTACCTGCTCCACAAAGGACCAGGGTTCAGCTCCCAGCACCCACATAGCAGCTACACCATCTGTAACTCCAGCTCCAACGCCCTCTCCTGGCCTTCATGAGCACTACATGCATGTGGTGTACTTACATGCAGGCAAAACCTTCATATACATAAAATTTTTTTAGACATTAAAAGATAGCATAAAGTCTAAGTCAATATGCAGGACAGCACAATGGTCTCTGGCTGTGTCCACCGTCACACTGAGAACTCTCCTCAAACGTTCCCTTTGGCCACTTTCGGGTCTCACCCTCGAGAGTGGCCACTTCATTATGTAGTAAGTGCCACCTGTCTGACCTCTGCACTATGCTCCTTGGGTCTCATCTGAGTTCTTTCAGTGGCGATCACAAGGGCCAGGAAGCTGGAAATGGGGCAAATAAAATCCTGGTGACAGTGCCGGGCGTGGTGGCGCATGCCTTTAATCCCAGCACTTGGGAGGCAGAGGCCTCTGTGAACTCTGTGAGTTCAAGGCCAGCCTGGTCTACATAGTGAGTTCTAAGACAGCTGGGGCTACAGGGAGACCCTGTCTCAAAAAAACCAAAAAAAAAAAAAAAAATCCTGGTGATGGTACCAACAAGGCACAAGCCCGGAGAGCTGCGGGACGGGGCGCCAGAACCCACCTACATGCACACGGTCAACCGAACTTCAACAAAGATGTGAAACACAGACCTCGCACCTTCCATAAAACCTAATTCTGAACAGATTACAGAAAGTGAGGTAAAACACCAAACCGTAAAAGTCTTAGAAGAAAATCTACATGACCTTGGTGTGGTCAAGGCTGTCTGACACAACCCTTGCAAGAAAGAACCAAAATACTGGACTTCACTAAAAGTAAAAATTTCTGCTCCACCAAAGACCCTATCAAAAGAACAAGAGGGTAACACACAGACTGGCAGAAAATATTTGTAAAAGACACTTTGAATAATGAACTGTTATCTAGACTGTACAAAGAACCCTTAAAACCCAACAAGAAGGGGTGTGAACAACCAATTTCACAACAGGCAAAATCCCTGAAGAGAGAGTCCATTAAAAAAGACACATGGGCTGGAGAGGTGGCTCAGCAGTCAGGAGCACTGGCTATTTTTGCTGAGGACCTGAGTTCAGCTCCCAGCACACACGTGGTGGCTGACAACCATCTGTAATTCCAGTTCCAGGGGATCCAGTGCAGCCTGTCTGACCTCCACAGGCACTGCACAATACAGGTGCACTTACATGCAGGCAAAACACTCATATACATAAAGTAAAAATAATAAATAAAACACATTTAAAATAACAATGTGAGTGGGCTGGAGAGATGGCTCAGGGGTTAAAAGCACTGACTGCTCTTGCAGAGGACACGTGGTCGATTCCCAGCACCCACATGGCAGCTAACAACCATCTGTAACTCCAGTTCCAGGGGATCTGACGCCTTCTTCTGACCTCCATGGGCACTGCACGAGACGGGTGCACTTATACACATGCAGGCAACACATTCATACACAAAAAATGATAAAATATTTTTAAAAATAAATAACATGAGAAATCCCTACAGACTTATTAGAATGGCCCAAAACCAGAACACTGACAGCCCCAAATACTGCAGAGAAGGAGGAATAACTGGACTCTCATTGGCTTCTGCTGAGGATTCAAAATGGAGCATGACTTTAGAAGTCACATACAGCAGTTTCTCACAAAACTGAACTCCCTTTAGCCACATGATCCAGCAATCACTCCTTGGTGTCTGCTTGAAGCGTGTGTTCACACACAAACCCACACACAGATGTCCACAGATTCTTTGTTCACAACTGCCGTCATTGAGGCAAAGTGTGAGAAACATGGCCCTCAGTCTGTGATAAGTTCAAGAGACTAGGGAGGATGAAAGGCTTTTATTTCATGATTCTTCAGAAACAGTACAGAGAAAAGAAGGCAAAATGGCCGACGAGACAATTTAACACAGAGTGGACTTTAAAGTCCTTGTCTGGAAGACTTCCTGCCTTCTTTTCCCATTAGCGGGGACTCTGGAGAGTTACAACCTTCATAGTCCCCTGGCATAGTCCCCCTCTCCAAAGTCTCCATCCTATTGGTTCAGGACACAAAGCCTTATCCAGAGCATGTCCCAGGGCCTGAAATTTCCTCCTATCATGTGGCGGACTGACCGCCTGTAGCTTTCAGCCTAGGATGAGCTGAGAGGGTCGAGGCAGGCACCAGCTGCCAGCCAGGGAGGACAAGCGACCGGGCACCTCCTGTTTGTCTGTGATTCTCTGATGAGCTCTAAACACACCTCACATTGAAAATGAACCATAGTGATTTACTTCTTATAACCAAGATATCCTTCTGCAGGTAAATAGATAAACCCTAGTACAATGGAATATTATACAGCACAGAAAAAATTGAGATATTAATCAAGAGATGCAGAAGAAGTTTAAATGCATATTACCAAATGAAAGAAGTTTTATGGCGTGTTCACAGCTCTGTGGCATTCTGGAAGAGGAAAAACTATAGAGATAATAAAAAGATCAGAGATAGCTAGGGGCTGGGGGAGGGAGGGATAAACAGCTGAGCCCGCGGGACTTTTAGTGCAACGAAACGACTCTGATTCTGTGGTAGCAGATCCAGGTCGTTAGCTGTCTAGACAAAGCCACAGCAACTGCAGCACCAGGAGGAAGCCCTAGCGAACACAAGGGGCTGTGGGTGGTGATGTGTCAACCGGGTGCCTGGGCAATGGCACATGTGCCGCTCGGGGGAGGATGCTGGCCGCATGGGAGGCTGTGTATGTGGGGGAAGGTGTTAGACTGGAAATCTCTATCTTCTATTCAATCTCTTGTGAGCATAAAACTGCTCTGATAAATGATCCAATTCTAAAAACAAGAGAATCGATCATGGGTTACTTTCGGGGAGTGGAAAAATGCCAGGGTTAGCTAATCCACCGAGTAGCTTCTCCATCCTTGAGGTCCTGGAGTCTCCAGTTCCTGTTAACCCTTCCTTTCCCACTGTCCAGAGAAGCTCCTCTCCTGTTTACAGTGGTCCCATCACTGTCAGGATTCAGACATGTATCTTTAGCCCTTGTGAACTCAACAGACCCTTTAGTCCCTTTGCCTTCTTATCACTCCTCAAAATGGGATGCTGTTTTTGAAGCAATACTGAACAAAACTTGTTAAGAACCAACCTGGTGTAGGAAAGAAGCAGGCATGAAGCAGCCTGCCTGAAGGCATGTTTCTGGGACGTTTAGTCCTGAAAAGACAGCTCAGCAGAGTCAAGGTTTTGTGCAATTTCACTAGTGAGCTTGAGAAGACAAGCTGATATGAACTCACCAGACAAGGCACCTGCCACCTTTGTTTTTTTGAGACAGGGTCTCACTGGATAATCCTGGGTGGGCTGGAATACACTATGTAGACCAGGATGGCCTGGAACTCAGAGAGATCCACCTGCCTCTGCCTCCTGAGTGCTGAAATTAAAGGTGTGTACCACCACACAAGGCCTTCCATCTAATTTTTTGAGACAGGGCTCTCTGAACCTGGAGCTCACTGATTCAACTAAGCTTGTGGGTTGGCCATTGAGCTCCAGGGTCTGCCTGTCTCTGCCTTCCCAGCACTGGAACTGCAGGTGCACCCTGCTGTGCTGGGCTTTTTTTTTTTTTTTTTTTTTTAAACATGGGGGCTGGACTCAGGTTCTCAATCTTGTATGAAAATTCTTGTAAGAAAGAGCCATCTCTCCAGCCATGTTTACTGTGCTTTGATGACACAAGGTTCATTATTTTAAGGCTTAGATTGTAGGAACAGTGGTTGAGAATTGCCTGCAACCCCACTGCTCACCTTTGAATAACACCTTTGTGGGGCCTTGGGCTGAGGTGTGTGGAGGCCAGAGGCAGATGCTGGGTGTCTTCCCACACACTTGAACTGAGAGCTCACTGACTCAGCTAGGATTCCCTGTCTTGGGCTCCCTATTGCTGGGGTTCCAGAAGGCGGCCACATCCACCTGGATTTTATGTGGGTTCTGCAGATTGGAACCCTGGGCCTCATGGTTGCACAGCAAGTTCTTTACACACAGAGCCATCTTTCCAACCCTAGTTTTTTGTTGTCGAGGACCAAGGCCTCAAAGTCACCATCCCAGTCTCCACCTCCTAAACGCTGGGATTACAGGCATACACTGCTACACTCATTCCTCCTTTTAATTTTTTAACATTTTATTTATTATTTCTATTTGATGTGTATGAGTGTATTGTCTGTCTGTATGTAAGTGCTCCCATGTCATGCAATGCCTATGGAGGTCAGAAGAGGACATCAGATCCCCTGAAACTGGAGTTAAGGAATATCGTTAGCCACCATGTAGGTGCTGGGAACAGAACCCAGGTCCTCTGTAAGAGCAGCCATTGCTCCTAACCTCAGATCCATTTCTCCAGCCCCTCATCCTCATGTTTTTAAATTGCTAAACCTCTTCAGATCATTCTTTTAAAAATCCTAGGCATTTAAGGGGTTACCAAACAATTAAAAGTATTCTTACCGGGTGCTGACGTTGCTCATCAGAATTTTGTGGACAGCTTGAAGTGACTGTGTCACACTCCTTGGCTGGGGGGAGCGCAGAAAGAAGAGCAAACAGCTTAGAAAAGAATGCACACACTCTGGTTTAAGACCTAAAATTAAAACTCAGCATCAAGAGTTGCCTTGACACCCGGTGAAATCAAGATGGCTTTGAACTGCGGAGGGCAAGTTCGGGTCACAGCTCTGCTCTCACCGTGAGGTCCCCCGCTACACTAGGCCCCTCTTCAGGGAATCAGTTGCACTTTTGCTGATTTGGGGAAATAATTTCCATTTCACTGCTAGCATATGGAGTTATTCAAACAGCTGGCAGCTGGCCTGAGTGCCCGTCTCTTCAGCGGTGAGAACACATCACCCTGACTGACTGCTGCTTGGGTCCTGGTGACCAAGGGGACCTTTCAGTGCTCTGTGGGCTTATAACCACACTGGCCACGCCAGGCACTGCTCTGAACATGGTCTGTGAATGAAGCACAGCCTTTGTGGGGCTTGCAGATAGGACGGTGTTTTCCACCAGGGATACTCTTGTCTGCACCTTGATGACGTCTGGTCAGGGGTGGTGCCCTGCCTGCTGTTTCCTTTGTTGTTGTCTGTATTTCCCTTGACCCTCAAGGGACTGAGGTGGGCAGGTGAGGCCCCTGGGGCTGATGAAAAAGAAAAGAGGCAGAGAGTTGGGTACTGCCACCCTCCTGGCCAGGACACCGGCACTTAGCTCAGCACTGCTGCCTCCCAGCACCCAAAAAGCGACTCGTGCCACCAGGGTGCTGGATGGCCCCACCCAGGCTACAGACAAACACACTCAAATGAATGGAGGTCAGATCCCAGGGAGACCCACCACCAGTTCCTGGGAAAAGACCCAGGGAGATCCATGACCAGTTTCTGGGAAAAGATCATCAGAGGTTTGTCAAAAATGGGCATTTCTAACAGCAATATATGGGTGAGTGATGCCATGTGGGTGCTGGGTCCTCTTCAAGAGCAGCCATTGAACTTAACCACTAAGTCATCTCTCCAGCCCCTTTAATTTTAATTATTTTTTAATTTTTATTTCATGTGTATGAGTGTTTTGCCTGTATGTCAATGCACCCATGGGTGCAGTGTCCACAGAGGCCATAAGAGGGCATCAGATTCCCTGAAAGCATTACAGACAGTTGTTAACCACCATGTGCGACCAAACCTGGGTCCTCTGGAAGAGCAGCCAGTGCTCTTAACTACTGAGCTATCTCTCTCTAGCCAACTCTTACTTTTAAAAATTAAGTTCCAGGGAACTATGGAACATCTCTCAAAATGTCCTGTAACTGTGGTGTCACCTGACCTCTTGTTCAGGGAGGTCATGGAGACCCCACGAAATGGACTTGAACCAGTGTCCAGTCTACAAAGAGGAGGGTCAACTCAGAGGAAACATCTCCTCCATGCTTCCAAGCGAAGCCCAGGTCAAGCAGGACCTTTGACTTATCTTCACATAGATGGAACTGGTGAAAGAAAGGAGGAGCCAGGGGCTCCTCCCAAACCCATGTGACTCCTGAGGAACAGATCCTCAAATGACCGTAAGTGTAAAAATAAATTGATTTATTTGGGCCAATTGTATGGTCTTAAATACCTAAAAGGAAAGTATAACCAAAGAAAAGTGATTAGTATATCTATTTAAGAGTTCAAGGGATTACACTTCCCAGACATTAGGCTTAAGTCTATATAAAAAGTTATTTAGACAATTATTTCTCATTGATGATTTTGTTCCTAATCAGAAAGTGCTGCTTGGATATAACACTTCAAATCTTGGTCTCCAATACTGTAGTGCCCACCTGTAGCTAAGAGAGACAACTAGCTATTGTTCTACAATGATGGATAAATTTGTTTTCTCCCCTATCTAGAAGCCTTTGCGAGGGAACTGACGCTGATTCTAACCACTCCAACAGCTATCAAAATACCTGAAAACAAATCCTGAATCTATCACTCTAGAGTCCAGCCTTGTCAGACAAAAGAAAAATGACGAGGAACCCATTGGAGGGATGCTTTTGGAAGCTCTCGTCAAAAAATCCCAACAGACTCTCATATGGACATTTGAAATTTTCCCTGTTCTGACTTTTTTTCTGGTTCTCCATCTAGAACTTGTAATGCTAACTACTCTTACCTTTACTTCTCCTTCACATCTCCTATTCAGGATTCAAGGACTTGCTTTTCCCCTACAGATAAGAGTTATACAAGTTGGGAGTCTTTTAGATAGACCCACTGAAGGGGTATCCCAATTGCCTCACCCTGTGTCCCTGTTCAGCATGGAAGAAGCCAGAGGAGTCTGTGTCCTGATTCCCTATTGGCAATTTGGTTAACCTCTTCAGAGGATGGTGTGATAAGAATAGGAGGTAGGAATTGGCTAGGCAGTTAGGGTAAAAAAGACCCCAAAGAAAAGTAGCCAGTTTCTTGGCTAAAAGTCAAAATGTCTTTGGGCCTCTTAGCAACATACTCTGTTCCAAAGGCCAAAAATGTAAAAAGTATTTGGGAGCTTGTATCTAATCCCTAAAAGATTTTAGGGTTACCTCTTCAGAGGGGTAATGTTAGAGTAGAAAAACGCCCCATTTAAAAGAAAGAAGGAAAAAGAAGAAAGAACACGAAGTTGTCAGAAAAAAGTGATGCGGAGCTATGGGAGGTGTTGGAGGGGAGAGAGTGGGCATGGATTTGATCAAAACACCTTATATGCATGTATGAAATTCTCAATTAAGTTTCTTTCAAAAGTTAAAAAAACTGTGTGTTCATACATGTGTGTGGGTGGGTGTTCATACATGTGTGTGGGTGTTCATACGTGTGTGGGGGGGTGTTCATACGTGCGTGTGGGTGTTCATATGTGTGTGGGGGTGTTCATACGTGTGTGGGGGTGTTCATACGTGTGTGTGTTCATACATGTGTGTGGGTGGGTGTTCATATGTGTGTGTGTGTTCATACGTGTGTATGTGTGTGGGTGTTCATACGTGTGTGTGGATGGGTATTTGTGGAGGCCAGAGATCAATGTCAGGTGTCTCCATTGCTCTCCACCTCAATGTTTTTTGAGTCAGGGTCTCTCACTGAATCCGAAGCTCCCTGCTCCCACTAGGCTTGGCTGGCCATGAAGCTCTGAGGAACCTTTTGTCCCCACCCCAGCACTAGGGTTCCAGACTCAAACCACCATGCCTGGCTTCTAGGTGGGTGCTGGGATCTGAACTAAGACCTTCAGGTTTGCATGGCAGACACTTTATCAACCGAGCCATCTTCCCAGCCCCTTATTAATTTTTTCAGTCCACATACAAAGCAGTAGATTTCATTCCAAAGTATTTTCATATATCTGTATCCATATCCATATCCATATCCATGCTGCTCTTACCCCCCTCACACTGCTCTCCACCATTTCCGTCCCTTAGAAATATCAATGAGAAAATTATCAGAAGCCTCTAATGACAGTTTGTCCTCCTTCAGAAAGTCAAAGGAAAATGTTGGCAGACAGGAACTTACAATAGCATTAAATTCAGATGTCAAAACAAGATTTAAAAACTAAGGAAGGTTCATTTACCTACAAAAATGATGTATTTATCAAGTTAAAAAATTATGCACTGTTGTTCACTGAGACATAAGAACAAAAGAGAGATGGTACTGGTGGCCCACGCCTCTAATCCCAGCTCTCAGGAGGCAGAGGCAGGAGGATCTCTAAGACCAAGGCCAGCCTGGTCTACATAGCGAGTTCTGCACGAGGATTTAAATGAGATTTAGGACAAACCTGACCATACTTTAAGCATAGGATCAGGTTGCTAAGCAATGATCTTTTCCTTTCAAAACAGGAAATCAAATTCAAGGGTAAAGACCCAAGGCACTGGCACTCTGACACGCATCCAAGTGTTTCTACCTTGGCCACTTTCTTGGGAGCTTTTGACAGTCCCCAAACTGTTTTCCATGGGTGTGTGCGTGTGTACATGCAGAAACCAGAGGTCAACCTCAGTGTCGTTCTTCAGGACAGCCATCTACCTTGAGACAGGGTATCTCATCAACGTGGACTTCACCAAGTGGTCTAGGTTGGCTGGCCACGGAGACACAAAAATCTGCCCATCTTTGCCTCCCCAGTCTTGGTATTTTAAGCATATGTCACCATGTTCAGCATTTTTTTCTTTTTTTCAAACATTTATTTGTGTGTGTGTGTGTGTGTGTGTGTGCGTGCGCATGCACATGCACGTGTGTGTGCCACCGCATATGTGTGGAAGCCAGAGGACAACTTTCAGGAGTCAGTTCTCTCCTTCTACCATGTGGGTCCCAAGGATTGAACTCAGACTGTGAATCTTGGTGGGAAACACTTTTTACCCTGAGTCATCTGGCCAGCCCAAGCTTGGCTATTTAATGTGGGTGCTGGGGACTGAACTCAGATCCTCATGCTTATCTGGCAAGCATTTTGCCAACTAGCTATCTCCCCAGACCTCCACTCTGTTGAATTCCTGAGCACCCCGGGAGACGCCAACTTTGTCCTTCTCAGCCCATGGAGCACGTGGAGGCTCTGAGATCTGGAAACACCCACTGAGACCGCTCAGACTCAGGAAACTGATTCTCTCCTATACATTGAATCATCTCATGCAGGCCTTCAAAGTGGGGTCTGCATCCCACCCACACAGATTTCTAGGCCAACTGAGTCATGATTTGGGGACAGCGGAATCCAGGGCCCAGATGGACTTGGAAGAAGCTGCCCTGGAACACAGGACTACAGCTCAAGTGGAGGGACCACGGTCATGATGGCAACCAGTGCATCCTGCTATCAGCTATGTCCCCCACTTCCTGCCTACTCAGTCCCAGGTGAGAGAGTTGCACATCCACACATAACAGCTGCACTATTCACAATTCTAGACAACAGAGCTGGCCTCGATGTCCCTCCACAGGAGAGTGGTTAAAGAAAATATGGTACCTACATGCAATGGAATTTATTCAGCCGTCACGAAAAATGAAATTATGACATTTTCAGGATGAAACTGGAAATCATTATGTTGAGCAAAATAAGCCAGATTCAGAAAGACAAGTGTATGTTTTCTCTCATATACAGAACCTAAATTAAAAATTAAATGCGTGTATATTTATTTATTTTATATTGAATTTATGTATTCCTCTCTCTCTTTCTCTCTCTCTCTCTCTCTCTCTCTCTCTCTCTCTCTCTCTCTGCGCATAGACCTTCATGTCACAAAGCACATGTGGATGTCAGAGGACAACTTGCAAAAGTAGGCTCTCTCCTTCCACCTTATGGTTCCACCGTATGGGTCCTAGGGGATCAAATTCAGGGTCTCAAGCTTGGCAGCAAATGCCTTTACCCACTGAACCATCTCACACACCATGTATATGTATTTATATGTGTGTGTGTGTGTGTGTGTGTGTGTGTGTGTGTGTTGTCACAAAACTAGGAAGGGGATCATGGAAGGAGAAGAAGCAATGTTAAGGGAGGAAGGGAAAAATGGCAAATGGAACGTGTGAAATCAGGAGAAACTATGGGGTAGGGGGCAGAACCCCCAGGGGGGCAGAGGGCAGGAGGAAGGGCGTGGGGGTGAATTAGAATAAAGCTTATTGACACATATGTCTGAAAATTTCATAATGAAACCCACTACTTTGTATACTAAAAAATTAATTTAAAAATAATAGTTCCAGATGAAGAAGAAGCGACTCAGAGTTATCTATGGAGAGAGCACTGGGAAAGGAAGCGTGCCGTACACCACCCAGCACAGCATGGTTTGCACTCAAGCTTCGCCTCTGCTTCTTTTCGCTATCCCCAAACTGCTTCCAGAACATCCACAGTACAGAAAAGAACGGCACTAAAGGTGTCACTCCAAGGGGCAGGAAGAAGAGTCTGGGGCCAGGAAGGGAGAGAGTAGCACCTTGGCTGAATCCTGGATTTATCATCATGGCTCTGTGGGAAGTCCTCTCCATCCCCACTACCAAGTGGCATACCAGGAAAGCCCACGTGAGCAGGGGCTCTGCAGGCTACCTCTGCACAGAGACCGGGCAAACAGGTACCTGCATCTCTGGTGTGTTTGTTCCTGTCCACTCATTTCTGGCTCTGGATTGTCAGCAGACTACAAGGTCAATGGTCCAGTGTGACAGCCAACATCATAGCCTCCATGGTGGACCGTACGGACCCCTCCACCCGGGGATGATTAAACTCTAGGGTCTAGCCACTTTCACCACACCTGAACCCAAGGCTCCAGGTTATAGGAAGTTAACTTTGGGGGATCACTTTTGAGCCTAACAAGTGTCCCTTTCTGGTTGTCTAGCCCTAGAACATTCTTTCTGTGGTTTGGGTAGACTCCCCTCCAAGCTTTCCCTAGTTGGGTATCAAGACTCCCAGCTGGTCCACATTCCCCATCTTTCTGATGAGAGCAATTGATTCTAGGATGGGTGTGTGACCCACACCGACTGCATCACGGGGAATCCCTAAAACTGTGCTCCCCCACTCCACCGTCTCAAATAGTTCGGTGGGATACTGGCTTTGCTGAGACCCTCTTCACTTCCTCAAAAAGAGGAACAAGGGTAGAAGCAAAGAAGGCAGAGCCACCGGGACAAGGGACTGAGCTGAGAGCACCCTTAAATGTGTACCAGTGTAATGGCCCCAAATGGAGTCCCCCAAATGTAATAGCCAAAGTAACGTCACTTTGTATAAAGCGGCCACGTTAAACTTCAAAGGCTAGAAAAACGGCCAGCTTCAAGGTCAAGCGCCTGAACTTAGCGGCTTCCCCTTAGAAGAGTGCTTTCTTTGGAGCAGCTGACCTTGCTCACCTCCCAGACACTGCGGCTGTGCTTCTGCCTGGCCAAGAAGCTTCAAGAACAACAGTAATCAGAAAGTGCCTTACTGTCAAGGTCTACGCATCTGTTAAAAGACGGACTAATGCAAGCTTGTTCTGGCTTCTGTAGTTTGCTTACCTGCTAACTTGGACCGTCCTGACCCTAGTCAGGACCACCTGGCATTATCACTCAAGTGTGATAAAATTCCTATGGTATTTGCAGTTTTTGCCTTTATAAGCTGGTTTCACCCTCCCCTCAGGGCTGTGGGTCCTGAATCTAACTTAGGGACCACGGACGGCTATAGCCCCAATAAATGTGACCAATTAAAATTTGAATTGGGTCTGGTGGTCTTTTCCCAGTGGTTTCAAATTCTGGAACACCAGCAGCTCGTAAGTACCCTCAACTAGAAATCCCTTCTCTCCCCTCCTCCCCCATCTCCTTTGGATTCCTGAAGCAGTCTCTCTCTGTAGCCCAGGCTAGCCTCAAAGCAATCTTCCTGCCTCAGCCCTCCAAATGCTGGGAATAATAGACATGTGCCACCATATTGGGCTCCTTCCTTCCTAAACAAAATTGGGTCATCCTGGCTAGCTTTATTTTGTGCCTGGTTTAAAAAACAAAAACAAAAACATAGGAAGTTAAAGTGTATGATATGAAATGATACAATTGACACATTTTAGTAACAAAACTCATTTCTGAGATAATTATGCAGCCAGTCACAAACTAAGTCATTGTATATTTCTGTTTTACATTGTTCCATAGGTAAAAGGGCTCTGAGTCATGCTTGTTCAGTATATTCAATTAGTCACAAGTTGAAGTGGTTATATTGGCTGTACTCACGTTTAGGGAGCTCGGTGTCTTGAATGGGATACTTGTCTGACTGCAGAGACCGACAAAAGAGAAGAGTTATTTTTAAATTTCAGCTTTAAGATCAAAGTGAAAAGAAAGCTTTGTCTTGGGTTTCAGTTTAAAGCCTTGGAACTGCGATGGGGCGCAGCTCAGTGGTAAAGTGCTTGCGGGGCACGCACGGGGTCCTCTGTTCCCACGGGGTCCTCTGTTCCGTGCCCAGCGTTTTGAATGCTAAGCTGAAGGAACCCCCTAAGTGTTTAGCCTCAGGCTCATCGGTGGGCCTGACTCACTGTTTTTACTCTGAGCTGATAGGAATGAAATCTAAGTTGGAACATGAACGAGAAACTTTCCTCTGACCGCCAAACCGCACTTCCTCCCTCCTCCCAGAGCGGTTCTTCCTGTTCCTGCAGCCTTAGCCTCAGACTCTGTCTTCATGCATTCTGGGAGCACTTCCGTTGCTTCTTAGCATTTCTATGACTGTCGTTTGGACCAACATAGATGTGTTCTGGGCAGGACTCACTATTGTAGAACTCTGTCCTGGATTTGAATCCCGGAGCTGGACTCTACGTTAGGTATTTTGAATGTTGAAAGAAGGTTGATTAAGAATAGATAGTATTAAAAAATTAAAAATTAGCCAGACGTGGCAGAGCACACCTTTATTCCCAGGCGGATCTCTGTGAGTTCAAGGCCAGCCTGGTCTACATTGTGAGTTCCAGGACAGCTGGGGCTACAAGGAGACCCTGTCTCAAAAAGACAAAAAAAATAATAATAATAATAAAAATTAAAAATTAAAAAGAGATAGTATTAAAAGTAGACAAGCAAAGACCTGTCAAAATCTAAGAAGGTCATTTCTGGTGGTATGAAGCAAGAACAGGACCTAACACCACTTCGCTGCTGTTGCTTAAGACAAGGTCTCATGTAGCCCAGGCTAGCCTTGAGCTTGCTTCATAGCTGACGATAACCTTGAACTGATCCTCCTGCCTCCACCTCTGAGTGCTAGGATTACAAGTATGTGCCACCATGTCATTCTGGAGCTTCTTGTATGCCAGGCCAGGTATGCTCTCTACCAGCTGAGCCACATCCTCAGCACAATATCTAATACTGCTTGTTAGCTTGAGAAACCCTGCCGATGTCACAGAGATTACCATAAGAAAGAAGTGTATCTTGGGAATATCTTACTTTGGGTTTTCTGGTCTTCATGGAAATAGTTGGTCACTAAATGTGAGGTAACAAGATGTGGGAAGCAAAGCAAGAATCATACCCACAAAAATAAATTTGCCACCTACCATGGCAAAGGACAAAGTGCTGGGGTCTGTGTCCTCCACTGGCTCCTTCGCCATGTGATCTGGGAAAATACCAAGGGAGAGGGTTGTCTTTATCAGGATAGCACAAACGAGTTTATCCCCTAACATTCTCACACAGATGTGCGCTACCTTGCCCAGAGAGTAGAACTGCCAATCATTCCTGTGGTCAAGGAAGGGAGATCTGTTCAAATTGCACCAAAGATGGTAAGTAAAAGAAAGATAGAAAAACAGACCCATGATCCACAGGACTCAAAACAAACGAACGAAAAACCACGTATCTTCAAACAGCTTACTTATAAATATCTTCAAATATTCAGTTACAACCAACCACAAATTATGTGGTCATAATACTGACAACTCCTGTTTGTATGTGTGTACCTACATGTGTAGCTGAGCAAACATGTGTGACGGCCAGAGGACAACCAAGGGTGTTGCCCTCAGGATGTCATCAACCTTGTTTTTTGAGACGGTGTCCTGGAACTCCTCAAATAGGCCAGGCTTGGCTGGCCAGCATGCCCCAGGGACCTGCCTGGCTCTGAATTCCCAGTGCCAGAATTACAAGCCTGCACCACCACACCCATCTTAATTTTTTTTTTTTTTAATTTTCTGTGCTTGAGTGTATTGCCTGCATATACATAAGTATACCCGTGTTGTGTAGTGCCCATGAAGGTCAGAAGAGGGCATCAGATCCCCTGGAACTGGAGTTACAGACAGTTGACAGTTTCCAGGTGGGTGCGGGGAACTGAACCCAGGTCCTCTGACGAGCAAGCACTCCAGACACTTTCACATCCTCCCCCCTCATTTTATTTTTTAAATTTATTTATTTTATGTGCATCAGTGTTTTGCTTGCACCCATGTCATAAAATGCTCATTGTCCAGAAGAGGGCAATGGATCCCCTAAAACTGGAGTTACAGACAGTTGTTAGCTGTCATGTGGATGCTGGGAACCAAACCCGGGTCCTCTGCAAGAGCAGCCAGTGCTCTTAGCTGCTGAGCCATCTCTCCAGCCCAGCACACCCTGCTTTTTTACATGGATTCGGAAGCTCAAATTCAGGTCCTTGTGCTTGCAAAGCAAGTATTTTACTGACTGGACCATCTCCCTACCCTAAGAGCTCTGTTGGATTGGACATAACTTTAGGTAGGAAAGATTTAATTCTGAATCCTGCATATCTATTTATTTCCTAGTGTCTGTGACTTGTGTTTTAAAAAAGCACTTTAAAATATTAAGCTTATTGGGCTGGGAAGGTGGCTCAGTAGATAAAACATTTGCCACAGAAGCACTAGGACAAGTTTGTGTTCCCAGAACCCATGCAAAGCTGAGCAGGTATGGTTGCCGTCTGTAATCCCAACATCAGGGAGGCAGACGTGGGATTCTAGAGCAAGCTGGCTATAGACTAGCTGGAACTGGTGAGCTCCAAGTTCAGCAAGGAGCCCTGCCTCGGTAAACAAAGTGGAGAGCCATCAAAGGAAACACTTGATGTCAAGTCAGACCTTCATACACATAAACACAAATTAAACTTCTTGATGTGTTTCATGTGAGTAACAAATTAAAAATAACTCCCAGTATACTTTCAAGCAAGTGATCATGATATCTCAGAATTTTCTTATGTTTTACCACTTGTTCTGTTTAAGAAATTATATAAGAAAGTACAGAACAAGACGCAGCCTTGTTCAAGACTACCACTAGGTCATATAAATCTGTGTCTGTTAGAAAAACCTCCCCTTCCACAAGAGACTTTCGTAGACATCTGCAAGAAAACCATCTTAATGACGATTCTGCTGAGTGGCACTTTCTAGATTTGTGCAAATGCAATCTGTAGCCGCCACCAGCAGCCCTGATCCAAGATTCACTTTTTAAGTTCTCATGATGTACTATGGACTAGGTCCCAGGTCCTGGGGGTACCTTTGAAGTCTCAGAGAAGTCGGGCTGGACAGCTTGTTGAGATGGCTGGCATTTGCTGTCCCTGGATACATTCCCGCTGAGGTGGCTGCCTCTGTCCACACCCGAAGCAGAAGCTATGTGAAGTCAACAGTGGGATGTTCTGCAACAGCCCGCTGAAGGGTAAGATCACCGAAGAGAAGTGTGGGGCCAGAGAGACGACTCAGTCAGTAAAGCACTTGCCCCGCAAGTACAAGGGCCTGAGTTTGATCCCCAGAACCCATGTGCAAAACTGGGCAAGGTGGCAAGCACCTGTAACCCCAGCACTGGGGAGGTGGAGACAAGTGGATCCCTGGGGCTTGCTGACCAGTCAGCCCAGCAGAACTGATAAGCAACAGGTGCCAATGATAGACAGTCTCAAAATACAAGGTAGGGCCTGGGGAGAAGGCTCAGTGCCACACAAACCCAAGGGCCAGAAACTCATGCAGATGTGTGGGCATGGTAGCCTGCCTGTAGTTCCAGGACCAAGGAATCCTTAGAGCAAGCTGGCTAGCAAGATCAGCCATATCAGGGAGCTCCGTGTTTGATTGAAGAAGGTGGAAGAGAGATGGAGGATGATTCCCAACATGAATCTTGGGCCTCACATGCACACATGTATACATTAACCAACGTACATGTGTGCCCACAGAACACACACATACATGAAAAAATGGAGAGAAGAGTGGGCAGCATCCAAGAAACAATAGCTAAGGTTGACCTCTGGTCTCTAGGTGTACACACACACAGACACACACACATACATACACACACACATACACAGACACACACACATACACACACATACACAGACACACAGACACACACATACACACCGACACACTCACACACATACACACATAGACACACAAACACACACACAGACACACACACACACATACACACAGACACCGACACACACACACATACACAGACACACACAGACACACACATACACAGATACACAGACACACAAACACACACACTGACACATTCACACACATATACACACTGACACACATACACACACAGACACACACATACACACACAGACACATAGACACGGACACAGACACAGACACACACATACACACACAGACACACAGACATGGACACAGACACAGACACACACATACACACACAGACACACAGACACGGACACAGACACAGACACACACACACACCACAAGACAAATGGGGACAAACAGAAAAGACTTTTGCTGATGCCCTGTGGGGTGGGGATTGTGCCCTGGTCCCAGCCCACCATAAAGGTGACAAGATCACATTGCAGGAATTGCAGAGCTGGTAAGTTCCTGGGTACCAGGGCCCAGCCCCAGCAAAGACACCATGTTTGGTGTTTACAGACAGTGCGGGGTCTTTAGGAATTTAGACTTGGACAGTGAGATGGAAATGTACTAAACTGGAGGTTTGTTAAAAGTTCAAAGTCTTGGAGTTGGTAAGATGGCTCAGTGGTTAAGAGCATTGGCTGCTCTGGCAGAGAACCCAGGCTGGGTTCCCAGCACCCACATGGGGGCTAACAGCCATCCATAACTCCAGTTCCAGGAGGTCTGACACCCTCTTCTGACCTCTGTCAGAACATGGGTGCACTTACATACATGCAGGCAATATGGTCACATATATAAACTAAAAATAATTAAGTTCAAAATCTTTTCCTAGTTGTTCAGACACCACATTCACCTCTCAGATTCCCCCGTGACTGTAAGGAGAGGACAGGCTTCAGCTCTGACTGTAATGGAACCCTCCCTTCCCACCAGCCTAGGAATCAGGTTTGAATCTAAACTGGTATAAGGAAAATAAAGGGGTTGAGGAGATAGCTCAGTCAATAAAGTCCTCGTTTTTAAATTATGAGGACTTGAGTTCGATCCACGGGACCCATGTAAAAAGCTGGGCATGGTGGTGTGTCCCTGGAATCCCAGCACTGGGGAGGGAGAGTCAGGCAGATCCTTGGGGCTCACTGGCCAGCCAGTCTGGCCAAATCAGTGAGTTCCAGGCCACTGAGATCTTGATGGACAGCCCCCGAGAAATGACACCCATGGTTGTTCTCTGGTCTCCATAGACATACCCGCACACATGTTCACACATACACACACAAAATGAAATAAAGACACATGGTACTGCTAACTCCCAATCCCACCCTGAATCTGCAGAGCTGCCACTCAAAAACACAGAGATAGCTCAGGACCTTTGGACCATCACAGCAGAAGTTCAGGGCCATGAGGAAAGACAGAAAGTCCCCTGTGCAGATGGGTGCCTCAAAGGGACGGGGGGAGCCAGCAGGAAGGAGCCTCTCAAAGAGGTGACACTGGGATCCGGAGGGATGAGGTAACACTGGGATCCGGAGGGATGACGTGAAGTGATGAGGAAGGGGCTTTGAAGGAAGAGCACGCTAGGCAGAGGGAACAGACCAGGCAGCAAGGAGTGAACATGCACATCTGTGTGCTCGGGGCAGGTCTTCCCAGCCAGCCTGACTCATGTTCTAGTATTTTTCTTTTCCTGCTTCTCGGACTCTTGTTCCTGACAGGGGTGGAGATGGTAGAAACCACCATTTTGGAGTCCCTTTGCCTCCAATATTTTATTACTAGAGATTCCATGGATGCTAATTATTTATTTGCATTTTTCAGTATTGTGAGGCAGAGTCTCATGTAGCCCAGGCTGGCCTTGAACTTTCTGTGTAGCTGAAGATGATGACTCTTGATCCTCTTACCTCTACTTCAGTACTGGGAATCTAGGCATGTGCCACCACACCAACTCCTGGATGCTAATTCTATGTAGACCAGGCTGGCCTCAAACTCACAGAGATCCTCCTGCCTCTGCCTCCCGAGTACTGGGTTTACGAGCATGCGCCACCATGCTGGCCTAATTCTTTTCTATTTTCACTTTTTCTTTATTATTTTAAAAACATTTTATGTGTACAGTGTTTTGTGTGCATGTATGTAAGTATACCACAAGTATGCAATGCCCACAGAGGTCAGAAGAGGGTGTGAGATTCCCCTGGAACTGGAGTTACAGAAGGTTATGAGCCGACACGCAGGTGCTGGGAACCAAACCAGGGTCCTCTGCAAAAGCAGCCAGTGCTGTTACCTGCTGAGCCAGCTCTCTACCCGA